ATAAATAAATAATATCTATAATTGAATTAACTTACAAATACATAAATATAAAATTTTTAGTCATTGTCACTTATTATCATAATTCATGTTTGAGATCTTTGATGCCATTTTTTCCCCCTCAATCCAAGTTTGTAAGACTAATAGAGCCCATTAAAATATAAAAAATTAGCCTAGCCACATTTAAATTGAAGACTTACACAGCCTCATCATTCAATTGCTTCAAGCGATCAATCTCAAACTTGTTTAGATGTTTCTAAAACATATCTACACACCACAGTAGATCAAGTCAAGACAACCAAGTAATCACTCACTTCTTTTGATTACCAAGCTTTTATCAAGGCTATAATGAATATCCAACCAAGAAACACGATTCCAATGTTGGAAGCTCCATTAACATCTTTGCGCTGCACTTACAACTACATTTTTTTATACTTGTATACTCACTTTCTTTCTTATACTAATTGTTGGAACTTGTTACAAATGCACACAAATCAAACCATATTGAAACTAGTTAAGAAAAAAATATATAAGTGATTTATTTTGGAGCTAAATCTACTCCCATAGGAGAATAGACAAAAGAATTTGATTTGATTATAAAGAACATCTACTATGCATATATTGCTTTTTGATAAACAAAAAAAAATAGCTATTACTTATTATATAATATCATATCCAAGTCAAATGGAACCAGGTTAGCAAAAATAAAAATATTCACATCTTTAGGTAAATTTAAAGAATAGCTTTTAGCACAAAATTACCTAAAAAAACCTTAGATTGATATCCAATCAAGCAAACTTGATATGGTTTCTTTGAGCATTGGTTTTGAAAAATTTGAGTGCATAATGACTTTGTGAGAGCTTTACAAAGTGAATATTGTTTTAAGTGACTCTCTTTTGTATTATATAAAAATATAGTATTTTAGTGAATTATATGAATTCTGTAACAACTCTAAAAATGAAAGTTTGCAGATTTATTGTAAGGTGGTTTTAAAGTTGATAGATAATCAAGGATTTATTGCAACAAAAGTTGGTAGTTTATTAATATATTACAAATATCACTTTTTACTTCAATTTAAAGTTTTAGAGTTATCAAATCTAAAGAAAGTAGAAATACAAAAAAAATAAAAATATATCATGTTTGATATCATATTGTGCATGGTTTTATGCTTATTATATAGATGATAAATATCATATGTGGATGATTTTTTGGATTTAAATTGCAATACATTCTATTGATAATTTGGACTAAAATAATGGTAAAAACCATACAACTATCTCAAAATATCTTATGATAATAGCCTTTTAAGTCAAAACATATTATTAAACTTTTATACAAAGTATATTAATATAATGTTAATTATGTATCAATTATATATCAATTCTATGTATAATTACTAATGTACCCAAGCTATTCAATATTCTTTAACTACTATTCTTAGATTAATTGATAACTAAATGAACCCATGCCATTATCATGGAATCTTAAGAATCTGATTAGTCACATAACACATGTGACTATATTACCTAGTTAACACGTGTAATTTCAAGAATCTATACTTTTTGTTGTATATGTTATGTATCTACCTTTCAGTGAGACTTCCAAAAATCATATCCGGGGTCTCAATATTTTTTGAGGGAATTTCAAACTATGAAATGTGCTGGAAACGGACAGTATTTTGCACCATTGGGATGTATCCTTGTGGCTACTCTGAGTTTTTAGCGCCGTTAAGCTATTGTTGTTAAAGAGAATGTCACTTCAAGTTTCCAGCATTAATTTCGTGTCTACAAAAAAAAGAAACAAACTCCTTTATAACATTGTAAGACAGAAGGACTTCTGATCACATCCAACCGAGGTGTTTAACATTAAAGAAAAAGGGTGCAGAAACCAACATAGTGGCACAAACCGGGCTTGTTGATAAATAATCCCACAATATGCTAGCCAAAAACATGTCCAATCTGGAACGTCCTGCTACCGTCCTCTCCTCCCGCCCCTTGTAGAATCTGCCTCGCCACTGTGGCCAACACATCAAACACTCCGCCGCCAGCCAAGGTCTTGGCCTCCCGCTTCGTCACCCTCTCGCCCCAGCTGTTCCACCAAATCACATCACGTCAGAAGCACGTTTCGGTCGACGAAATAGCCACAAAAATACTAACATACATCTACTTCCTGTGAAACGCTTCAATTGTAAGATTGATACATCCTAACTACGATATTTACTGCTGTAGATCTCATGCTGATTTCACTCTCTAAATAACATTCACGACTCCACGATCAAATCAGAAACACAGATTGGTGCTCCACTCCTTTCCACTCATACAACATCCATGAACTAGCAAACACTACGAAACCACTCTGAGGGATGCTAGTAGGCCAAAGTAAATGAACACCAACACCGGTTCAGTCCTCACCTGGATGAAGCTCAACATTAATCGCCACGCCACGAAGTCAGGTCTCTGAGCAATGAGGGTCCAAGTCGGTGGAGCATAATCTCTCCAGAATGTTGCCTTGCACATGTCAAGACTGTCTATCTCCACAACTGTTCCTTTTTATGGGTTGGATTCGTGTTGCTGAAATCTTCTCGAACTTCCACAGCGATAGTAGCAAGTCAGCCTTGCTGGACGGGAACTTGACTTCGATGGAGCATAGAAAGTGTCCTGTTTCCTATGGGTTATACAATGAGCCAATGAACCTGCTACTCTTTGTAGGCATTAAGACACCGTGGTTACTTTCTTTGTGAAAGGCAAACCATATGGCTTCAAGTATCAGATTTCAATCATGACAGAATGTAATTAATCTAGCATGATGCATGAACTTGTAACATGTTTGCAGGCATGATGCCAATGCTCCGTTATAGCTTTTGGCTGACTTGCAAGCGTCCGGAAGTCTAAACCTCTGTTGATTGAAATGAGCTTCTGCTACCATTGCAATGAGGTGTGAATGAGCTCAATTACGCCATTGGCTGCGGCAAATTTGATGGTGATCTGCAACAACGCGCTGATGCCCATTCTGGCTCAATGCACAGTTCCACATTAACAAACTCATAGTGCTGTGTCAAAATAAGCAAAATAAAGGAAATAGCTCCTCTGGTAAATGGTCTCAACTTCAGAACGAAACATCTTTGATACTTTATACTCGATATCTTTATTATGTGCATAGTACTTCAATTCTTCCATAAAACTGTATAAACTTCGTTCTGGACCTCGTCCTCGGGGTTGGCACGGATCGTCAGCTGTATACTGCTCTCCCTCGCTGCAGACTTCGCATAGCTGCTCATCACCATAGCTCTGTGATCAGGCCAATCTGATGTGGACTCAGAACGAAGGGTTTGCAGACAGGAAGAGTTGCATTGGGCTCACCTTTGAGAGAAAGGATCGTTTTTGAACTCTGCTGCTGCGTCCTAGCTTGAATCTTTCCACGGCGGGCACCACTCATCCGGGTGGCGATCGATGTGCTTCAGCCCTTGCCGGGATGGAACCCTGTGCGGAATCGATGGCACGGACTGCGAGACCGCTCTGAAAAAATCCGTACTCTGAACCCCCGTCATTGCATTTAAGGCCCCATTTCTTAATTAAGAGGTAATCTGTACCATACAAAATCAGTTTAAGTACGGGTTCATCAATGTGTTTATATTTTGTGATGCTTTTCCACGCAGTTCACAGCCTCTATTTGCATAGACGGAGTTTGTCAGCAAAATGAAAAGTCCAGATTGCATTCGCAAATATGATTGCAGGACAAATGTCATTACCAAAAGAATGCGAAATCTCAAATGCCGGACTCTGGTGTGAGGTAATGAAGATGTAATTACAACTGACCACTTCATTCACTAAATTACCACAGTCCTAACCCTCAGCCGCATCCTCACTGTTCCCTGCATTATGAAATGAATGAGATAGATTGATCCAGTCTAGCTGACATTAAGCTCAAGGTGTGCTCCAACCACATCCATTGACACAAAGAGCCACACCTTGGTAAGGCGATCAAATAACTGTTTTTCAAAAAATATTTGTCACCGAACAAAAAATACTATGAACTCCTGAAATCTGTCATAAAAAACAGTGAGCGTAATTAGTTAGATCACAATAACCATCAGTTCCTCCTTCCTGCCAGTGACAAACGTTCGGTTGCATTCTCTAACCTTCCCAGAGCACCACTGTGCGAATCGTTGCAAAACTTGAAGCTAATGCTCTGTAAAAAGACGTCTTCGAATGCGCAACAAAACACGGAAAGGCCGATCAAAGCCAAAACAGTAACCTCCACTTGTAGAAAAAAGTCAAGAAGGCAGTTGGAACAACAGTGTACAAGCTAATTACCTATGAAAGCGCTTGTCCTTCACCAAAGTGTAAAAGAGAGAGGAAACACCCTGTAGCGGTCCACAGACCAAGTTAAAATCGTGTGAGGTTTATAATATGCTTACAGTCGCCGCAACTAAAAATTATTATCATGCATTTCAACTTAGTCATTTGATACGATCAACGTTAACGGGCCTGTGAACTACAGACAAGGTTAAAAACAAAGAGGGATGCACTCATGTCCGTATTCACGATTCCGGCGAACCCTGATTAGCATGGGTGGACGATGCAGCTCGATCACAGGGGTGTAAACCTTCACAGCACCAGCGCCAGGGAGCTCACAGGACAGGACATCTTTTCGTGACCAAGCAGATAGGTAGCACATCTAGCAAGTGGAGGGCGTCCTTCGGGATGTTATTGGTTTATTTTCTGTTGACGCAAGATTAGCGTAGACAGAAGATCACAAGATGGAGCTGGTGGTAGGCGAGGACTGAGCAGTGGCTCAGAAATTTCCTGAGATCCAGTCAAGAGCGGTAGAGGATGTCCTTTTGTTGCTCGGAAGCCCCGACATACGTCATTCCAGGTATACTACGAATGCACTCACTGGATCAGAATTGTATCCACACATTGCACAAATTGAATAACGATTAACCAACATTTTTGTTCACCCAGAGTCATCACACAATTTACACAACAGGGGCATCGCCAGGGAAAAGTGAATTGACGATTCTTTTTTCGGAAGATAGCAAGAACAGGAAAAGTTCACAAGTCTTTTCATCTCTTGAAGTGTACCAACCGACAAGGGGAAGAAGAGGTAAGCTTCTACAAGACAAATTTTGTGATAAAGAGGCTTATTGGACAACATGCAGCGCATCAAAGTAATGCAATCCCGCATTATTTTACTAGAGCTACCATGTACACTATTACCCACTGGACTTCACCACTTCTCGGCTGTTGGAAATTGCACCACATTCGTCGCTGTTGCAATACCCTCTCGCCAGCAGTCTTGACTCTACCCTCATAGACGTGGAGTCCATCAACAGCTGTGCGTGACTTGGTTCTGCAACTTCAAGCTCTACTGTCATCTGAACAGTCGTCACCACTTACGGTGGTGACTCATATTTCTACCGTTGCCAACATTCGCATCAGAATGAATCGGAGTGCTTCGCTCTGTAAATCAAACAACAACCTCCGACAGTGTCAACTAGTGTTACCCTTTGCTGAATTCATGTGTACCAGCAAACGCAAGAGAACCAAGTCCATGGTCTTTGTTGTTTCATGAGATGGTGGGGTTTACACGGGCATGTCGATTGCAACATCAGCCTGGTCGGGCTCCACTTCATGAGCAGGAACTTGAGGGTCATTTGGAGGCGCGGCAGGAGGGCCTGCATAGAAGAGATAATCGATCTCGAAGGGCAGGAACGTCAGACCGGGGTGTAGAGGGATAAGAGGTGGAAGTGGATTGGAACCCATGGTACCGGGGCAGTTTTGCAGCACGCGATGCCTACGCAACTCTCGAAGCTGATGAAATATTGAACCTCACACACGGAACTGATGTTCGCGCTGCGTCAACTGGGACACATGCGCAACTCCCAAGTCATCCACGCTGAAGACTTACGCCTTGGACCTCCTGAGCACTGTGTTTCAACGCATTCGTACTCATGCAGGGGTGCAGTGCCTCAACAAAGATTGCGGGGCGTATGGATATGAATGGTCGGCGATAAGCAAGTCGGTATTTTCAAGTTCTGCTCACATCGATGCCCAATCAATTAGTTGATTAATGCTGACATTAATAAGTTGTTGAATATGTGTTCCTGTTTCTCTTTTGTTTTTACCCTTCAGTCCTGTTTGTTGTTGAAAACGTGCAATTTCGGATATAATTACTGTTTCGTCCAAGCGTCGATGAGATGCGTTTGTAGTTGAAAACAAGCAATTTTGTTTGGGATCATGTCTTCGACCAACCTGCAAGTCAGGACTTGAGCACGTGAGAGAGGACGACTAGAACAACAATGAAGGATGCCGAAAATGAACCCGAAAAGGGTACGGAAGTGGATGGGTGGGCTGTCTTCAAAGAAAACCACACGGTCCACTGCAAGAGAGTCCCACCGCCACATATTTATGTTAAGTTTACACGCCGCCGACGGGTACGAAACGATGACACCCGATGTCAAATGAAAACCACCGCCTTGATAACAATCCAAAAGTCAATGTGTACAAAGGACAGGTGTAGCACAGTGGATTCTCAACGATCATTTAGCACAGCCCCTGGAACCATAGCCACAGTGCCAATTTGCAAGCTTCTGTATGGGACAACTAGCAATTGAACTCTTGCTTTGGAAGTCCGTTGTTAAGGAAATGGGGTTCTAGACATTTGTGAAGTAGAAATTAATTATTGTAGGGGCTTGTTATTTTAAAATATCATCACAACAGCACAACAATATACCGAAATACAAAAATGTTGTCTGTTTCTTGCAAAGTGAAAAACACACAATATATAGTGCAGACCTTGGATAGTGAATCTCTCTACCTTTCCCAATCGAATAATAGCGTTGAATAGACACAAGAAGTGATACCCTTAAAAGATGCACTCGGACAAAAAAATACAAACAGATACACTCAACCATCTTCTCAGTGGATCAAAACCTCCACGCCAATGGCAACTGCGGGCTGGGATTGGGAATTGTTAGGGTCCGCCTGGGAATGGCCAATCCTGAGTTGGTGGTCTTTGTGAGTGCAACATGACGAGACATTGGAAGCACGTAACAAGGCACAGAAAACAATACAATCATCGTCCTATGTCAGTGAGAAAGTCCAGTGAACCAGATGAAAACATAAGCCACCGCTTGTACACGAAATGGACTGCGAAAACGAATGGCATGCAGCATTTCGAAACTAACACAAACGACCTGAGAACATAGACGGGCCAAACACAGGTTGAGGATGTGCGCCACTGTAAGTGAAAACAACAGAGGGCAAAGGCGCATAGCAGCTAAAGTTTTCTGTGTTCTCAAGTGTCGGTTACCGTGTTCACCACAGATTTCTCGACAGGTTTCCTTCAATCCAGTCACGGCCAGGTTTTCCTAAACTAAAAGCCTGACATCTTGTTATCCCAGCGTGGTAAAGAGGAAACAAGTGCGTAGCTCGTCACAGCGAGGACGATACAAAAACAACAAGCAACAAAAAAAGGAAACAAAATCGACCAAAAACAAGAGTACGCGCACAGAGCTTAATTCGTGGCAGGACAATTAAAGCCTGACATCTTCCTATCCCAGCATAGCGAGGAAGCAAATGCGTAGCTCCTCACTGCGAGAATGATACGAAAACAACAAAAAAACAAAAAAACAAAAACATAATCGAAACCTGCACGCCAATCGCAACTGCGGGCAGGGATTGGTGTTTTTTAGGGTCTGCCTGGGAATGGCCAATCCTGAGTTGGTGATCTTTGTGAGTGCACCATCAAGTGACATTGGAAGCACATAGGAAGGCCCAGAAAACAAAATAATCATCTTATGTCAGTGAGAAAGTCCAGAAATTAAATAGAAATCCGGAGTAAAGACTACTACCCAGTGAACTAGATGAAAACATATGCCACCGCTTTTACACGAAATGGACTGCGAAGACGAATGGAAAGAAGCGTTTCGAAACTAACACAATCGACCTGAGAACATAGACGGGCCAAACACAGGTTGAGGGTGTGCACTACTGTAAGTGAAAACAACAGAAGGCAAAGGCGCATATCAGCAAAGTTTTCTGTGCTCTGAAGTGCCGCTTACCGTGTTTACCACAGATTTTTCGACAGGTTTCCTTCAATCCAGTCACGGCCAACCTTAAAGCCTGACATCTTGCTATCCCAGCGTAACAAGGAGGAACCAGCGTAACCAGAGGAACCAGTGGAGCTGGCGACACGCAGGAGAAGACGGTGCATTCAATCAGAGGAGGCAACTACAACCCATAAGCTCTAGAATCGAATTTGGCTCCCTTTTCTTGAAGCAACAAGGCAATTCATGTGAAACTTGGCCGAAACCGGAGAAACCTGTGCGCCGAATTTTTTATAATAATTTTTTATAATAATTTTTTATAATAATTTTTTATAATATATATATATATATATATATATATATATATATTTTTCCTTCTCCGTATGGGAATAAATGTACGTGGGAGCCATGCCACATCACTATCATATTGCCTCTGAGGCATAAATACATGCACAAGATTGGTCTGTCGGCATTTCTTGAACTTGAGATGGGATGCACATGGAATCTGTTAGTGTGCCCCAAAGGTTGCCACAACCATTGGATTGCAAGTTCGTCCCTCACTGGACTAGAGCATATTCATGTTGTACTTGTGGCTGAACAGGTGCTGTGACTTCGCAGTTGATGAAGTATGTCGTGTGAGTTAAGAGCAGGAGACACTAAGTCTTTCACAGGATGCGCAATCTCTAATGAAGAGACGTATCTTGACCAAGTCAGGAACATGGCAAAACGGAGGTGAATAGTGAACAGAAAGCTAGCTGCGAGCACAAAATCTGTTCGTAACCAGTATTGGCCACATGCAAACACTAGCAACAGATCAGAACAAGAATTGTAGAATACGGTGCCTTACGACGAAGCAACATGCTTTCCTTGTAAGTGTATAAGAACCTATAAACTTGAGGGGCCTCTCAAGTGCAGAAGGTCGGTAATTTTTTCACTCGACAACTTGGTGTGCCGTGGATTCTGGTGTGGATTTGTTCTGTCCAACACCAGTAAGAAGGAAACCGATTTCACGGATCGTAGGTCACTTCCCTTGGAGTATTGTCATGAGAGAAGACGCGGATATTCATTATCTGGTAGCAGAAGAACATTCCTCCTTAGCCTTCACCCTTTCAGTTTACCAAAACTGATGCAAACCTGATTTGAAAAATCAAGTATAATTCCTCTCTGCAGTTCCCATCAAAACTCTGAAGTTCGGCAAACTACGGATTTCGTCAATATGATCTCAGAGAGTCGAATTAACCGTTTGTGAGGATGCGAAGCTACAAGAATGTCCTTATACAACAAACGTCTGGAACGTTCACCTGCAACACAGGAGATTCTATGCTTCAACCTAGTAAGGGATAATCTCCCTTTAACAACTTGCTCGACCTCTAGGAAGCTCACAGAAAGGAGTGTGTGTTTTGCGCAGAATATGAAGTTTCGACTGCAAGCTAAATTTGTGAATTGTTTACAGAACCGGTATTCATATTAAAGACCGCAAGTGAGTGTCGAAGCATACATAAATAGTTCGCTACTCCCTGTAACCGTACTTTTCGCTTTGTTTGCAACCGTTCACATCTCATTGAAGGTACTGGCATTAGAGTGTCTTTTCACCTGTTTGATCTTCAAACTGGTATACCTTCGGAGGTTTTTACAAAGACAACGTGGAGACATAGGCAGGTTTTGAAGACTACCTTGTTCACTTATTTTTGCGGTTTTAGTACGATTAGCAGTAGCTGTCGATTCTTTGAACAGTTGCGATATTTTAAAAAAGTTGCTATGATTTTAGTTTACTGTTGTCAATAGTTTTCTCTCGGGATGTCACTTCAAGCTTGCAGTGAGTGCATTGTTTGAAATTGCAGCCAAGTCCGTTGATAGTACACATGCAGGCCATCTAATATTATGCTAATTAGTATTAACCTTGCATCGAGTGTGGTATAGAATGCACAACTTCAACCAGTTCACTTCAGAGATGTGCTCTTGTTCCTAAGCAAGTGGTAGGTGTGAAGTCAGTCAGATAGAGTCCATTCTTTTCCAGTGCACGTAGATACGATTTCCATTGAATATCACATAATATACATATTACATTTTATGTGATAAAGAACGATCTTTATAGCATGGTGAGAAATCAATTCTTGAAACAAGTTGGAGGCATTTTTTTGCTAGATTATAAGATTTAACTTCTACTTGATAAGTTTAATCTTCTTCAAAATGTTTGTGCTTATTTTCAAGTAAGTAATTAAAATTTGTACAAAATGTGAGCCAAAATCTATAGTTAGATTATTAATTATGGAGGTTTCAATCTATTATAGGACTTGTTAAAAGTTTGTTAAGATCTAAAATTTGATTAAGATTTAATTCGAATTCGATTTAGGATTTAGGATTATTAAAGTTATTTTATGATTATTTTAAGATTTGATTTTGGATGTAAGATTTTATTAAGATTTAATTAAGATTTATTTTACATTTGAATATGTCTTATTTAAGTTTTTATGAGGATTTTATTAAATTTTGGTTAGGATTTAATTAAGATTTGATAAGAATTTAATTTAAAAAGTTACTTTTAATATTTTTTAAGATTTTTATTTTTGATATATCTTTAGGATTTTTATAAATTTTTTAAATATTTTTTTAGAAATTATTTAGGATTTATTTAAGATTTATTTTAGATTTGATTAAGATTTGAATAGGATTGTTAAGGATAAAATAAAATTTATTTAAGATTCTATTATAGTTGTTAGGACCTTGTTGTTGTAATTTCTAATTTATCTTCTACAATTAAATATCTAATTTATTTTCAAAGAAGGCTTTATACAATACAATAGTAATAAATAATATTAGATTACTAGAGATCCAACAAATCAACAAACAAAAAGATCTTGCTGACCATCAATTTGACTTCACTCTTATAGTATGCCTATCAACATTGACTAGTATGACACAAAATAAGACAATACTAGAAAACCTCTAAGAATAATATTTACAATTATGTAAAAATACCAAAGACAAAATCCAAAAATCTACATTAGATCTTTATTTCCAATAATATAGAAGAAAAAATAACAAATGAATTAAATAACTAGGACCTGTTGTAGTTGAAATCACAATTAAAAATAAATTAGAGCAATCAGCATCCACTTATAGTTGATAGTTAGAACCAAAAAACTTATAATAAATAATAATGATAATGATAATAATAAAAATAAAATAAAATACAAAGAAATAAGAAAAATCTAAAATTAACTTAGAAAGCAATTGACATTGAATAAATACCATTTCGATACTCCAATTGATCTCTACTTCATAAATCAACAATACCATTGGCTTTGTTAAGCATCTTCTAAATAAAAATAATTCAAAAATGGTCCAATTTTGACTCCATATGCTCTTTAAGTGAACTTCCAAATTTTACACTTAAGAATTTTAGAAAAATTTATTTATTTGTCTATTTTTAATCTTATTATTATATATAATTATCTATCATTATATAGATCTTGTGATTACATATAATATATTATTGTAGTATATTATAATTATGTATCTCTATTATTATTATATCCTATAATTACAATATGAGCCTAAAGTTGTGTTAAGCTCCTATCAATGTAGATTGATATTAAAAGATGATGTTCTTTTATTGCTCATCATTGCAAGCTACCAATTGCTTCTATAAATTATTATTGATCCAACTCCTCTTTGTGTTCCTCTACCTGCAATGCTTGTGCAATGTCACATTGTAATGCAAATAAGACCAGCAATCTACTCTTTACTAGGACAATAACGCTTATGGCAATAAAATAAAAAACAAGTTGATGCCATGTCAATTCTTTAATATTGAATTCAAGTTATATCACATGAAGATCTACTCTTATATTGTGTTCTTAATGTTGTTTGTCTATTAATTCTAATTTGTAGCTCCAATTAAACTATAATCTAAGTGTTTCATTATTTTGCCTTATAGCCACATTGTATTATAGTATTATGATTTAAACCTTCAGTATTACAATACTACCTATTCTTATACCATAACCTCCAATTACTTAGCATTACAATATTATTGCATCAATAAACTCTCACAACTTTAGACTTTGATGCTGCAATCAATTCCAAAGATATTGTTGTAATATAACATAGCTAATAGGTGATAGATTGAAAAAAAATATTATATTTTAAAAGATATATTTTTAAAATATTGTAGAAAATTATCTTAGAAACATAAATAATAGTCAAAGGATAGTGAACTAAAAGTACAAATACTACCTTTTTACAAAGTAGGCTTCTAGTTACTTTATAGGACCATAAATAAGTTAAAACAAGATAGATTAGAAAAATAAAGAATATAGATATATATATATATATATATATAAGGAAGAATTAATAGTTTATTTTATCAAAAATTACCTCAAAAATAAAAAAAAAATTGATATACAAAGAGGAGTGGTTATCAACTTAGGTCAAAATTAGATCCCAAGGCACAAAACCACACACCTACGACAATTCTATGGTTTTTTTACAAATTGAAGAGTGGGATTTGGAAGAAGACTTCATAGAATTTTTTAAAGCATTGGTTTTAAGCAATTTAATTTTGTAATAATTTTATAAGAGCTTTATGAAGTCAAAATTATTTTAGATGACTCTAAATTTTATGAAATTTGTAAGAACTTTGCAAAGTCAGGGTTGTTTTAAATGACTCTAGATTTTATGAAATAAAACATAACTTACTATTTGGACAATTTCATGAAATTTGCAGTAGATCTATAGATGAAATTTTGTGAAATTGTTAGTATAATTGTGCTGAATATATATTGTGAATTTGAACTAAATCAAATAGTCGGATTGAAGGCTATTGAAATTCAAGTGGATTAGGATCTTGGAAATTAGATTTTTAGGCCTAATAATGTTATCTAAGATTTGTAAAAATTTGCTAGTTGAATTGAAGTGGAATTATTGAAACTAATAGTTGACTTAACCTCCAACAATTGTGCAAAATTTGAAAGCAAGTTAATGGTTCAATTAAGAGTTATTGATGTTAGAAGATCAACATTAAAGTCAAAGATGGAGGCTAGCTGATACCCAAGTGGATTATGATGTTTTTCTTTCATTTTTTGAGTTTGTTATTTTTCCATCTTTTCAAATTTATTGTCCTTATTGTTAATTAAAAGATTGAAAGGTAAATAAAAATTTAAATAAAATCAAAGGTTTAATA